AGAACCAAACACCAGCCAGAATGACCCCACACTACAAGTGACGCATATTAAGGGGGCATAACTTCGTTTCTTATAAGTTGTTCAATGTCAACCAATCTCTTTTGATTAGTTGTATATGAAAAAGGCTGCAATTGTTCCAAGTTTCAGTATTGCAGCCTAAATAGAAAGGTAGATTATTTTTGTTTTGTCTTTTCAACAAGTTTTACACATTTTCAAATCATTTTCAGTTCTTCTACTCCCCAAGCCCAGCCCGAGGCAAGGCTTGACTTATGAGAGTTTGTCAAACACAGAATGTCAAAGACAGACACAGAATGCTCCAGATTCCATGTGCATTTCTATAGGCCATTGCTCCTCGTGCCTCTCTGAGGGGCTAGGTTCTGGCTCGTGGTCCCCGGTAGGCCTAGAACTCCATGCACACTGACTGATGCCAAAGTCTAATGATATACATATCAACCTGGATAGCTCCGGAGAACCGAAGGGGCTTCCCCCAGAAACTACCACATCTCGGTGTTTTTTCACCCAGAAATTCTTTACCAAGAATTCAAATGCGATTGTCACTAAGCGGGAGACACTGGTAAACTCGAGCGCGGTCGCCTGTGCTACCAGAAACCAAGTGCTAAGTCGCCCATATGCATATCACCAAACTACGTTACTCAAGGCAAGCTCGTAACTCGATTCAAGTTTTACTACGAAACTGAGTTCGTAACCCAAAAAATACGGAAACAGGTGCATACGAAAACCAAGGTTCCACTGTACCAGATGCGAAGAGTGAAGGAGAAGGCCGAACCACCTGTGTTCCAGACTGGTCTGACCTGTTGGAAGAGGCTGCGCCGCGGAAAACATGCCGGGTCCGCACACCAAGCAAGCAGCACCTGCAACCAAGGCTGGGCCGGCCACCAAGGAGCTACCAAGGGGCCACCAAGGGGCCACCAAGGGGCCACAAGGACTACTCTCTCTTGATAGGACTTCAACCGAGCCACAACCCGAAGAAACAGCTGGACCGAGGGAAAGAGGTACAGGTATGGAAAACATGCCAGGTTTGCACACCAAGCAAGCAGCACCTGCAACCAAGGCTGGACCGGCCACCAAGGGGCTGGCTACCAAGGGGCTGGCTACCAAGGGGCTACCAAGGGGCCACCAAGGGGGCCACCAAGGGGCCACCAAGGGACCACCAAGGAGTCATAAGGACTACTCTCCCTTGGTAGGACTTCAACCGAGCCAGAACCCGAAGAAACGGCTGGACCGGGGAAAAGAAGTACTGTACAGGTAACCCCACCTCGACCAGTCCTGCAGAAAGGCATCCACTGCAACAAACTCATAGTCGGGAAAGGGCGCCACATAGATCGGGAGACGCCGAGACCACGCCGACGCAAAGCGGTCCACGTCTGGGAGTCTCTATGTCCAGCAGAGCCAATGGAAGGAGTTGGCATCGACCGTCCATTCCGTGGAAAGGGCAATGAACCGAGACAGGCCGTCCGCCAGGACATTGAACACTCCCCAGATATGAACCACATGGAGAGCCAAACTAGAGAAGCTAGCAAGCCGAAAACAGCTTGAGTAGGGAAAAGAAGCGCAAAACAGAAGCCAAATGCCCACAGGCGTGCAAATCTTCAGCCACCAAGGACGCCGAATGGGTAGGAACCTGCACATGCAATGAGAATGAGCACAAGGCCAACATCCTGAGAAAGTACAGGGGCGAACAAGCATTCATTAAGGTGCTCACACTCGCCCCCAGGTAAACCTGCAGACCGGTAGAAGTTTCTCACCACTCAAGTGTGTATGTCTGACAGAACCCATGACACGCCTCCAATGAAAAGAATTGGCAGTCTGCCAGCCAGGAAGACTTCAGAACCTCCAAACACACCCAATACGGGAAAGAAGAACCGACCTCAATTAAAGACGGATCCAACATAGAGGCGGAATCCAGGTCTCACAGGAGGTACACTGAAAGAGCCTCCCGACCCTCCCTAGAAAAGATACGAGAGGCAGAAAACCTTCAAAAGGACGGGGCCAAGGAACCCAGGGGAGCCCGGAACCAAACCCGGGAAAGAGCCAACGCCAAATCATACTCACACAGGGAAGGGGGGGGGTAAGAAAACCCCTACCCCCTGCAACAACAAGCCCCACGAAGAAGGCCCCCAACACCCAAGCAGGGTCAAAGGGGGCCCAAGGCCCCCAGGTCAACTCCTCCCCAGCCCTAGGATCCCCCAAGTCGAGACCCGGGGCAGAGCAGTCCTCCTTACCCTCAACTCTCTGAAGAAAAGGGTAAAGAGTCCAGGGTAAAGGATGAAAAGAAGGGGGCCTGCTGGTGGGACCCAGATGCCTCAGCAGGAGGAACTGGCTCAAATGCCTCCATCCCCAACCCAAATGGGGCAGCCCCTGAAGCTGCCCGAGTCTTAGTACCAACTAAACCCTGCCCCAACTATGAAATCCTCAGAATTTTGGGAGCCGGAAGCAGAGGGGAGGGGAGCAGGGAAAGGACCAGGGAGAGCGGACTGAACCAACGTCGAAGCAACTAGTGCCCCCAGGTTCAGGTCCTATACCAAAGCGGGGCAGTCGCAGGGCATCTAGGTGGGAAACCAACCTAGCACGTTGCAGCAACAGGAACCTAGCATGCAATGCGGATGCTGCCTGTACTCTAACAGTAATGTCATCAGAATAGTACTGGAGAACAAGCAGAGAACACGACTCGCAAGACTCCAGGTCAAAGGTGTTGTTGACCCAACAGGCAGCATGATGGAGGCAAAAGAGGTGACCGTCACCCTGAGACAAGGGCACACAGCAACCTTCGAACCCCCACAAGGCAGGCTGGAACTCGAAAGATGCTTACATAGGTTCACTGAGCCCAGACAAGGTTTTCCGGGGCCCGTAGGCTGACTGCTATGGGAAGCCAGGGCAAGGTGTTGCTAACCGTTTAAGACCCAGAGCTAACAAGGGGGAGATAAAAACACTAAAACCCTTGCGATGTGTACAATCATGGGGGCCTAGCAGAGGGCCACCAAAATATTAGAAGTGGAACTGTAGCCACACCAGGCAGACCCCCACCAGGTAATAATAAAAAAAAAAAAAAAAAAAAGTACAACGTCCCCCAGAAGTAACAGGAACTGACCACAGCATAGGTAGGCAGGCTGCACAACACCTTGACGCCCTCACCAGCATAATACCACTCCGTATCCAAGGCCAAACAAAGGCCACGAAATCCCATCTGGCCCCAAGGGTGGGGTAAATGCCATGCAGCAAAAACCCCTACAGAAATGGTTCCCGAACGCACCAGGGAAGAGAACCCTAACACGCAAAGTCAGTACTCAAAGGGTGACTAGGAAAAAAGGTGACTTTGCCTGTGACTAGCATGCCCCTAAGCGTATGCAGCCCCGGCACTGATGAGGACACCTGGCAATCACATACAACAACAACACTGCAGAGGTCACCAAAAGGCAAAACAACACCTTGGAAATCGAGGCCAGAGAAGACGTCCGCCCCGGACCACATTAGCAAATGAACTGGAGTGCTAGGTAGCCAGCACGGGGAAGGGTGGGGCTGCACAGATGAGTGGCGCGGCCGTGGAGTGTGACGTTTGCTTGCTTCCTTTGGATTGGAGGGAGTTCTGCCTCTCTTTTTGGTTTTAGTTGTAATCTTCTTACCATGTGGGGTTTGTTTTGTTATGCCTACCTTTCTGGGTGCCTAACTCCGGTTGATGGCAGATAAGGAAAATCCCCAACCACAGGGGGGGGGGGGTTCTAGGTCCATTGCTCCCTGCAGGTCTCTGAGGGGGCCCCAGGTTCTGGCTCGTGGGCCCTGGTAGACTGAACTCCACAGACTAATGCCCTAATGTATCATATATTAGCCTGATAGCTCCAGGGAGTTGTAGGGGCTCCCCACAGAAAAATTGTTCATGACCTTTGTTAGACTAAAGCTGGAATATGCAGCAGTTGTATGGTGCCCATATTTTAAGAGGCACGTCAACAAACTGGAGAAGGTGCAAAGATATGCAATGGAACTGGCTCCTGGAACTGAAGGACAAGAGCCACGAGGAGAGCTTAGAGGCATTAAATATGCCAAAACAAGAAGATAGATGAAAAAGAGGCGATATGATCACCACGTACTTACTGTACATGGTAGTAACGGGAATCAATAAAACTGATAGGGAATAATTCCAGACCTGGAACTTCAAGAACAAGATGTCATAGATTTAAACTAACTAAACAAAGCTACTGAAGAAATATAAGAAAATTCACTTTTGCAAACAGCAGTAGATGGTTGGAACTTAGGTGAGAAGGTGGTGGAGGCCAAAACTGTCAGTAGTTTCAAAGCCTTCTATGACAATGAGTGCTGGGAAGACGGGACAGCACGAGTGTAGCTCTCATCCTGTAAGGTTAGGTAATTACACTTAGGTAATTACACATTCATTTTGGGCAGCCAAGAAAGGGACAAGAAAAGAGCCTCCCCAGTGATAGAAAACATCAGGGAAAACAACAAAGGAACCTGCCTTCCACTGAGACTTGTTGTATCAATGCTTCCATGTAAATTTACCTCACTCTATTAGAACTTTTGAAAAAGAGAGAGATTAAGCACTTATAACAGAACCATCAGGAAATCCAAATTTCTATGAGTCAAGCAATCAAGATCTCAAACTTAAACTGACCTAAGAGTTTCTCATTCTTTATAATCTTTTAACCAGAATCTTCATTAAAGTTAAAATGGTTGAAAACGCAAATGTGAATTCATTTGGATTACCCAAAGATTCGGGTTATCAGAATCCCCGAGTTACTGACCTCTTACAGCACTACCAAACTCCACCTCTCTAATACAACTAAAGATCAAAGTGTGTTAAATGCTACAGAACACTGTACAAGGCTTGCATAATGAATGACATTATGGTAACTGATTCCACTGATGCGGAAGGAAATATGGAAAGAATACAAAGCTCATCAAAATTTGAAATGATATTCCATAAAGAAAGCAATTCTGAACTTGGTAAAGATTACAATATTAAAACATACCTGGAATAAGCTTGTGACAGCTGCTGAAGCAGGTTAAGTTGAGGATAAAGAGTTTGATGCATATATCCATGGGTACACTAGGAGAGGCTTGTGAGGAAGTTGACCTGGAAAATGTACGGGAGAAGCTAAAATACGTGCCGTGATATTGCGAATAATCTGATACCAAAATGAATGACGTAGCACGAGAATTGAGGTGAGAAAGCTGAAAAAAAAAGAGTATAAACATTTGAGTGTGGTTTGTGCGCTCACGGCCAACACTTAGCCTATCTTGCAGTGCGCGGCGGGTCGCTCGCCAGACATGCAAAACTGTTAACGAGTAATGTCTATGATCCATGTTATGGGATAATACAAGTGGAGATTACACAGTGTTTGGACCTGTAGAGGCGAAGGGTAATGTGATGGAACAGCAAAAGTTAAAATATGGTTCCTAATTAAGCAGCATTAATTCCACAATTAATGTGGATACAGACAATCATTATTAACACCTGAGGCTTGCCAAAGAATATTTCCATATTTAGGTGAGAAATTCAAGGTAACAAACAATTATACTGTTTCAGTTTCAAGTCATAAATTCATATGGAGGGTCAACTATGAGTGAGAACTCCAGGGCAGGACCCAACCACAGCTTAGTCATTGGCACTCAAGAATTAAGGTTGCTAAACTTATTGTATTATGCAGCACAAGTCGTCAACTTCAGTTTAACCCTCAAACCGCTAGGGGCCCAAATGGATTTAACACACACAGGCGCAACAAAAAAAAAAAATCTAAAAAATTCTTTCGTCTTATAGAAGTGTTCATTTTTATTCCCTGATCACAGAAAAAATAACAAAAAAATCATAGGTGGCATATTTTAGCCGCAATAGGGTAGAGAAGTCTGGCAAAAAAGGGACGTTGACAGAGCCTTCGCCAGACGAGGTCTACTCCGCTCGAGCTATCAGGCGGCAGTTGCCACAAGTATATTATTACCTAATTATTTCAATGTCTCTGATTGATTTTTTCTTAGTTTTTTTGCAGTAATATTATTCAATACAGTGAATTGTGATATATTTATATAATACAATGTGTGAACCATTGCTGTACTCAAAATTATGGTATGCATATTAGTGATTCAATTATTATGTTCATAAAACTATAAACAAATAGTTTTGCTGTTGTTACACTCTATACACAGGTTATATATAAGTATTTGCATGTTTTGTTCACCATAACGAACCATTAAGTTGGTCTTGTGAGTCAAAAAGCAACGAGGAGTGACCGCTACACACCAGCCAGCCACTCACTGCCACTCCCTCCCTCAACAACACCTCACTCACCCTCATTCTCCTCCCACAATACTGTTTTTGCATTTATTCACTATACACAGATGTTATATATAAGTATTTACATGTTTTGTTCACCATAACTGTACATCTAAGCTTGTATGGTGAGTAAAGACACGAAGACGTAACTACATGGTACGTAAAAGGTACGTAAAAGGGAAAGATCGACCTTTGAGGATCACCCTAAACGGTGCCAAACAGATGGAAGAAGTACTAAGGAATGCTAGAAAATTGCAAAGGGATGAGGATGGGAAAGGGTGGTCGTTAAGACGAGATCTTTCAAAAGAAGATAGAGAGAAGCTGAAACTGAACCTCGCCGAGGCAAAACATTTAAATGAGAGCAGGAATGAAGAAGAAATAAATTCTTTTTTCTACAAAGTGATAGGGGTAGGCAAACCAGTAAAGTGGTACATAAAGGCAAACCAACAAAATCAATAGAGAGAGGGGGAGTGAAGAATAAGGAGAGGGGGAACAAGTTCCTGAAGATTGCATACACCAACATAGATGGAGTGAGATCGAAGATACTGGAGTTAAGTGATGTAATACAGCTGCAGACACCAGACATTGTTGCACTCACGGAGACAAAACTTGAAGATGTAATTTTAAATGAGGTCATATTCCCAAGGGGCTACTCAATTTGGAGACGGGACAGAAAAATTAGGAAAGGCGGTGGCGTTGCTGTGCTGGTAAAAGAACACCTAAAGGTGAAGGAAATAATGACTGCCAATCCACAAGAAGTTGACATAATAGCACTAGAGATCTGCTATGAGGATGATAAACTAATGATGATAAATGCATATAGTCCACCGCCAAGCAGCACATGGTCAAAGGAGGAGCTAGATAGTAAACGTGAAGGTCTTATAACAATAATGAGAGAGATTATAGCGAGAGCGGATAACGATAGATCACGACTGTTGATAGTCGGTGACTTCAACTTGAAATCCATAGACTGGGAAGCATATGAAGCTAAAACAGAAGATTTTTGGACCTGTAAATTTGTAGACCTCATCCTGGAAACATTCTTGTATCAACATGTTAAACAAGCTACGAGGATGAGGGAAGGGGACGTTCCCTCCATGCTAGATTTGATATTTAGCAGGAAGGAGGAAGAGATATTTGACATTCAGTACCTTCCTCCCTTGGGTAAAAGTGACCATGTCTTTTTGGGAATAAAGTATGCAATGCGTTATAAGCTGGAAGAAAATAAGGAGGTTGAAGCAGTTGAAAAACCAGACTTCAGGAGAGGACATTATGGTGACCTTAGAAATTTTTTTAGTGAGTATAATTGGACAGACTTGATGCTAGGCAAGGAAGTGAATGAGATGTATGGCAAGTTTTGTGAAATATATGATAAAGGCACAAAAAAATTTATACCAAAACAGAGATGCAGGACCAGAAAACAGGATTGGTTCGACAGAAATTGTGAGAGGGCAAGAGACCAAAAGACACAAAAATGGAATCAATATAGGAAGAGGCCAAACCCCCAAACATACCAGCGATACAAAGATGCGAGAAACAATTATACAGCAGTAAGGAGAGAGGCAGAAAGAAATTTTGAAAAAGGGATAGCAGATAAATGTAAAACAGAACCGGGCCTATTCTACAAATTCATAAACAACAAATTGCAGGTAAAGGATAATATCCAGAGGTTGGAAATGGGAAACAGATTCACGGAAAATGAAAAGGAAATGTGTGAAACATTAAATGAAAAGTTCCAAAGTGTGTTTGTACAAAATGAAATCTTCAGAGAACCAGACACAATAAGAATTCCAGAGAACAACATAGAGCGGATAGAGGTGTCTAGAGATGAAGTGGAAAATATGCTAAAGGAGCTCGGGAGGAACAAAGCAGCTGGCCCAGATGGCGTTTCACCATGGGTTCTGAGAGAATGTGCATCTGAGCTCAGCATTCCACTTCACCTGATCTTTCAGGCATCCCTGTGTACAGGAATCGTAGCAGACGTGTGGAAACAGGCTAACATAGTTCCAATCTACAAAAGTGGCAGCAGGGAAGACCCCCTCAATTATAGACCTGTATCATTGACAAGTGTAATAGTGAAAGTATTGGAAAAGCTAATCAAAACTAAATGGGTAGAACACCTGGAGAGAAATGATATAATATCAGACAGACAGTATGGTTTTCGATCAGGAAGATCCTGTGTATCGAATTTACTCAGTTTCTATGATCGGGCCACAGAGATATTACAGGAAAGAGATGGCTGGGTTGACTGCATCTATCTGGACCTAAAAAAGGCTTTCGACAGAGTTCCACATAAGAGGTTGTTCTGGAAACTGGAAAATATTGGAGGGGTGACAGGTAAGCTTCTATCATGGATGAAAAATTTTCTGACTGATAGAAAAATGAGGGCAGTAATCAGAGGCAATGTATCGGAATGGAGAAATGTCACAAGTGGAGTACCACAGGGTTCAGTTCTTGCACCAGTGATGTTTATTGTGTACATAAATGATCTACCAGTTGGTATACAGAATTATATGAACATGTTTGCTGATGATGCTAAGATAATAGGAAGGATAAGAAATTTAGATGATTGTCATGCCCTTCAAGAAGACCTGGACAAAATAAGTATATGGAGCACCACTTGGCAAATGGAATTTAATGTTAATAAATGTCATGTTATGGAATGTGGAATAGGAGAACATAGACCCCACACAACCTATATATTATGTGAGAAATCTTTAAAGAATTCTGATAAAGAAAGAGATCTAGGAGTGGTTCTAGATAGAAAACTATCACCTGAGGACCACATTAAGAATATTGTGCAAGGAGCCTATGCAATGCTTTCTAACTTCAGAATTGCATTTAAATACATGGATGGTGATATACTAAAGAAGTTGCTCATGACTTTTGTTAGGCCAAAGCTAGAATATGCAGCTGTTGTGTGGTGCCCATATCTTAAGAAGCACATCAACAAACTGGAAAAGGTGCAAAGACATGCTACTAAGTGGCTCCCAGAACTGAAGGGCAAGAGCTACGAGGAGAGGTTAGAAGCATTAAATATGCCAAAACTAGAAGACAGAAGAAAAAGAGGTGATATGATCACTACGTACAAAATAGTAACAGGAATTGATAAAATCGACAGGGAAGACTTCCTGAGACCTGGAACTTCAAGAACAAGAGGCCATAGATTTAAACTAGCTAAACACAGATGCCGAAGAAATATAAGAAAATTCACCTTCGCAAATAGAGTGGTAGACGGTTGGAACAAGTTAAGTGAGAAGGTGGTGGAGGCCAAGACCGTCAGTAGTTTCAAAGCGTTATATGACAAAGAGTGCTGGGAAGACGGGACACCACGAGCGTAGCTCTCATCCTGTAACTACACTTAGGTAATTACTTAGGTAATTACATAGAATATCACCTTCGCAAATAGAGTGGTAGACGGTTGGAACAAGTTAAGTGAGAAGGTGGTGGAGGCCAAGACCGTCAGTAGTTTCAAAGCGTTATATGACAAAGAATGCTGGGAAGATGGGACACCACGAGCGTAGCTCTCATCCTGTAACTACACTTAGGTAATTACATAGCATGCTACTAAGGGCAAGAGCTACGAGGAGATGTTAGAGGCATTAAATATGCAAAAACTAGAAGACAGAAGAAAAAGAGGTGATATGATCACTACATACAAAATAGTAACAGGAATTGATAAAATCGATAGGGAAGATTTCCTGAGACCTGTAACTTTAAGAACAAGAGGTCATAGATTTAAACTAGCTAAACACAGATGCCGAAGAAATATAAGAAAATTCACTTTCGCAAACAGAGTGGTAGAC